CCTAGGCTCCGTGTGGCGTTTCAAACATTCTGAGTCCCCCGTTGACCCCGGGGCTCCATGAGGGTGCTTCTGCTTTGAAATGCACAAGAGCCCCCACTGCGGACTCTTGTACACTTCAAAGCTGGCTTGCGTGCAGCCCAGAGTCAGCGGGACTTCCCGCTGGCCCTGGGCTGCACGCGGAGTTCTGCATGCCTCCTTTGAAATGTAAATCGACTAGTAAATTAACTGCTAATTAACATCCTTACTTCCTAGTGGAACTATACTATTGGACTTCCCTGTAACTGAAGTTTAAGGCCCCCGTGAACCTGTCTCGTGGGGAAAAACGCTTGGTTACGATATTGAAGTCTTGAATTCCTCTGGTAAATAACTGCCATGTTCTAGTTTGAGTTGGTAGTCTTTTTGCTATAGTTCCATAAATATGGTAAATCCTACTGCTTCACTTCTCATCGCACTTTGTGGCAGTGCTTTGAGGTTACATTAAAGCAAGAAACTACTTGGAAAGGATTATGGCTCTGTAGACATGTATCACTAGATGTGAACCATTTTAACTTCTCCATAAATGCTCCGTATTTCTGTAAAGTGTCCATTTTCAAGTACTTGTAGCTAAAACTGTAGCTACAGTCTAGTGTTTTACAAATGACCTCTAATTCAAGTGGCTACTTTTCAAGCTTCATGTTGATCTGTTCTCTAGAACACATCTCTTACATAGACAAGCTTACTCTTCCAATCTGCAGATCCTAGGGAGTGGGTGAAAGATGATGCTTTGGATGTAGTCCTAAGTCCTCAAAGGCGGAGCTTTGGAGGAGGCTGCCACGTGACTGCAGCTGTAAGCTCACGTCGAGCAGGAAGCCCTTTGGAGAAGGAGAGTGATGGTGTTCGTGTTACTGGTGGACGCAGGATTGGCAGTGGGAGAATAATCTCTGCCCGTAATTTTGATAAAGACCATCGGGGCAGTGAAAAGGGCATGCATGATACTAGAGATGTGCGGGACAGAGATCGTGAGAGGGACTACAAAGACAAACGTTTCAAGGTTTGTTCTCATAACTCTGCTTTCCATAGCAAATTTGATAGGCTGGTATGGTCTCAATGCCTATTCAGTCTCTGGTATTTCAGATAAAATTGTGAGCTTGTGATGGCTTGTGGTGTTGGACTATCTCCTAGATGAGATGGAGATTTTTAAACTTTCTTGTTAGAGCTGTCGCACTTAAACTTGATGGCAATAACCTAAGTGAGTGAAACAAATATGACTAGGGCTGTCAATTGACCTGCGTTCAATGTCTGTGATTAACATGTTTAAAAAAAAAAAAGCATTAATTGCAGGTGTTAATGCTGTGCTGCTGTTTTGAAGTGCTGCTCCAGCACTTCAAAGGGGCAGCACAAGCAGAGCCAGGGATCAACTGGAGTGCCCAGCTGATCCCTGACTCCACTTGCACTGCTCCTTTCAAGTGCTGCTGCGGCAGTGCTTCCAAGGGGCAGTGCTGCATGGAGCCTGGGGTCAGCCGGGAACTCTAGCTCATCCTGGGCTCCATGCAGTGCTGCCCTGTTGAAACGCCACTGTTGTGTTTCAAAGGGGAGTTGTATGTGACACAATCTTTTAATTGTGCAACTAAAAATTGTAATCACTTGACAGCCCTAAATATGACTAAGGAATTTTTGGTGGTTCTGGTACCCCCAAAAGTTTGACTTTGTCTTTCCATCAGACTAGAACACTGCCTAGTAGACAGTGTATCAGAAAGCGGAGTTGCATAGCTTGACTACAACTTTCAGTCTTATGTAGAAGGTGACATGCTGTCTTGCCACAGTTCTCATTAAGAAATCCATTTCATAACTTCAGTGGAAGCTAGACTTCTCACCCGCCATTAGGAAGTAGCTTATGTCCTGAATTTATTTTATTTATTTATTACACAGGTAAGAGAGACTCCCAAAACTGTTTTAATCCTTAGAGCACGGTTTCCCAACCTATGGGTCGGGACCCAAATATGGGTTGCCAGGTGTCTCCCCAGGTGGCTTTTAAAGGAGCCATTCACACATTTTTTTTTTTGAGTTGCTCTGGGTCACCAAGTCTTCCTGAATTGTCAAAATGGGTCCCCATCTAAAAAAGGTTGGGAACGGCTGCCTTAGAGCAACTGTGGATATTAATATAGTGCTTAACAGGCTTGGACATCTATCTCCATGGTTGTCTTATGGCCATGGGTTCCATAGGCTAACCTGTGTTGTGTGAGAGCATTTTGTCAGCTGTTTACATTTGCTGCCTTTCAACTTCACTAAGGGGTACGTCTACACTGCACACTTATTTCAAAATAAGCTATTCTGGAAGAAATGCTCCGAAATAGCACATCTACACTACAGGGAAGCCTCATAATTAGTCCAAGGCAGGCTTCCCTAATGTGGATGTGCTACCTCGATTTAGAGCCCCAAGAGGCACTAGGGAGTAATTAGTTTGAATGGCCCTGGGGTGGAGCTATTTTGACACAGCCATTTCAAAATAGCTGTAGTATGGATGCTCCCCTGCTGCTATTTCAGAATAGGCGGCGTTCTTTGTGGAATGAGGTTTACAGAAGTCAGAATAAGCTGTCGTTTCAAAATAACAATTGCTGTGTATATGCATTATTTCAAAATGTCAGTTATTTCAAAATAACTGTGCTGTGTAGACACACCCTAAATGTCCCTGTGCCTTTCAAAGAATGTATCCTGTTAAGTAGGATAACAGAACTAGATGCAATTTAGGGATGTGAACTTGTATCCTTGGACTTTACAGAAGTCAGAATAAGCTGTCGTTTCAAAATAACAATTGCTGTGTATATGCATTATTTCAAAATGTCAGTTATTTCAAAATAACTGTGCTGTGTAGACACACCCTAAATGTCCCTGTGCCTTTCAAAGAATGTATCCTGTTAAGTAGGATAACAGAACTAGATGCAATTTAGGGATGTGAACTTGTATCCTTGGACTGTTAACCCTCACGGTTCACTGCAGCGCCCCCCACCCCGCATTGGA